AGTGGTGACATGATGAATATGTGTAGATAATATGTGTGTGTAGTGACATGATGAATATGTGTAGATAATAATATGACGTGATGAATATGTGTAGAGTGTGTTAGTGTGTTCGTAGATAATATGAGTTCCTGGAGAATATGTGTGTAGTAAATGAATATGAGTTCCTGGAGAATATGTGTGTAGTAAATGTGAAGGTGTGATAATAGGTGCATAATGTGTGGTGACGTGATGAATATGTGAACGTAGCAACTCACTGTATTTTTTTATTGAATAAGAGATGACCTTTAAATAGCCATTTTACAACGTATTGAACTAACAAGAAGATAATAAAATATCTTATCAAATCAAATAATTCCAGATAACTTATCTCAGATATCTCGGAATCTCTAGAAATTTAAGATTTTCCAACAAAAAATCTTATCTAAGCAAGGGACATTACAACAGCAACCGAATAGAATCTAAAAATAGAAAGAAATAGTACGTGAGAAAGAAAGTTGTGGTAGAACAATTTTATATCTCTACTAAGGTAAGGGGGAGGAGAACTTTATCTTTTTAAAATTTCATATACTACTATGTTTATTTATTTATGTTATTTTGTAGGTATATTTATTTAGTGAGGTGTCCCTAACCTCATTTATTTGTTTAACCTATGATTATTTTTATCTATAATAATTATTAAGATGTTCATATTTTATATTGTTTAATTATTTTATAATGATTATCATTGTCATTTATTTGATTGGTGCTCTTAATATATTTCATTTACGTAAATGTTATTTATTTAAAGCTTAAATAATGATAAATACTCAAATTTATTTAGCGTGATTGTTTTTATGATTAACTATAATATAATTTTGTTAAAATATCTTTGACTCGTTTTAAAGATAAATATTATTCTATGGCAATAGAAGATAAAATTTGAATTATTTGTAGCTAGAGGTTTGACCTTGGGAATTTAAATGAGTAAGGAGTTAAGATTAAAAATCTTTTTGTTGGTTGATATTATAATGCTCATTTATCCCGACTAGTCACTGCAAGTGTAATTCAAATTTTTATATGTATATTTTCTAATATTAACTATTGCTACGCATGTTATGTGATTATAAATATTTCTTTGAAAATTATTCTCACTCCTTATTTTTCTTGTTTAAAATATTTAATTAAATATGAAAAATAGATGGATCTACCAATCGTACCAGACCCTTTCACTTCCATTATTACTGCAGTTTTTCCCGGTACCAGTTAGGCTATGGACGCATCTGCAAATGTCGTTACATTTCAGGAGATAGGATTATCGACTTTTTTATTTTCACCAACCTAGCAAAATCTCGTTATCATAAATGGCCAAATAATAGTCACTTTTTGACTACTTCCAACCAATCATGTTAACTCAATAGTGAACTTATATCTATATAAACATCATATAATTAGTGTAGGAAATAAGTAGATTATAAGTATGTACATTATTGTAAATATTTTTTTTTGTTTAATATATGATATAAATATAAAGTGCTATATGTAAGCAAGTGTATGAAAAATAAAATTTTACTTTATGTATAATAATATTAATTATATAAAGTATATTATTATTACATACGTATAATGAAATTAATATTCACACGACTAGGCGGTTACAAATATCAATACCAATGCATAATCCAAATTGTTCTAAAAATAATGAATTTATTTTTAAATTTTTTAAATTTAAATATTATGAATTGAAGAAAATATGCTTAGTTCGACTTCCCTTGTTTGAATGTCTTATAGTCAAAGTTTAACATAATTTCTTGTTTTAAAATAATAATTTCTAAATATTAAAGTTGTTTTTAATTTATTTTTGTCGCGTGGTATGTTTGAATTGGTGGGATGTGATGAAATAAAATATATAGAATGTAAAGGAATTTTAAAATGTTTTATTTTTTGAATTATTTAGAATGCGATAGAATGAATTGGTAAATAATCACATAAATTTAATCCCATTCTATCCCATCTAAAAGTCCTATTTTGCTTCTTCTTCACTCAGTATTTTATCTCTTTTAATTCAAATCCTCATTTTATCATTTTTCACAGACAATAAATTCAACTACTTTCTCTGCACTTAAAGTATTACATGTAAGATAACTCCTCACATATTCTTAATTGTTTTTTTTTTAAATTAATACACTGCACCTCTTATTTCATTCTATTTTAGTATCCATTCAATGTTAAATATCTAAAGAGAATCCAGACACATCATAACTTTTTCATTCCACGACCAAACATATATTAATTTTCTTTCAATATAAGACATAAGTATTACAAAGGAAAATTATAAATGGAGGGAGAAAATTAACTTTAATTTTGTAAAATAATTCTGACCATAATAATAAATTGATCTTTCATTGGCAGCAAATATACGTGATTTGAGCAGTTTTTGGCAGCCAATAGAAAAGTGGACTTTGGCATACCGGAAAATAGTTTGCGTCATACAGTTCACATATTAAAATCAATAGTATATGACAACTTGCCTTGTGGTTTGTAATATTATATTATTATAATTATGATATGTTAAACAAAATGTCTTAAAAAATTTATTTATTTTATCAAATATTTTTAGACATCTCAAGCATATTAAATTTTTAAATTTAATATTATCACATATTTTATAATTTTTAATTTCCAACCATAGCTCGAGAATATTATTTATTATTTATTAAAGGAGAGTGCTAATATCTTTAAAACGTTAATTAAAAATTACACGTAAAAAATAAAATATTATTAATGCCTTTTTACTAATTTTTATTATTATCAGTGTTATCATTACCATTTTTAATGATTTTTTACTTTTAAAAATAATGCATTTAAAAATTTATTAGTACACTGAAATATTTAAATAATAAATAAAATCTAAAAATAATATATAATATTTTTTTTATAATATATTTTATAAATATTTTACGCATTTCTAAAAATACCTTGAGAATATGATTTAATATTTATAAAAGGAGAATATAAATAAATATTTCTAATATATTAATTGATATTTTTTTTTTACTTTTCCACTATTTTTATTAATTTATTGTTACCATGATTTTTTTAAAATATAATTGTATTATTTTAAACAATAAAACAGTAAATTTAAAAAATTTAATATTCAAAGGTGACTTCAATCTTACTCGATTTCATAAAGTTGATTTGTAGAATGATGTTATCTCTTATTTATAAAATATTTTAGTTATATTATTGGTTGACATAAAAAATTTTAAGTGATAGAAATCTACTGATGTGTATACTCAATTTTAGAGTATTTGAATAATTATCATTAGTCTTATTATAATAATTTTCTAATAATTATTTTATTTTTAACAATATTTTAAGAGCATTTTCTATTTTTTCTTTAATATAATCATAATTTTTTCATATACTATGAACACAGATATAATTTCATAGTTAATTAATTATAAATGACTTTGAATACTAATTTTTAAATAATTATTATAAAAATTCAATAATAAATATTTGAGAAACTATATGTTAATTTGAGTTAACTACATTTTGGATCTCTTATGGAAAATTTTATGTTTGTGTATTGTGAATGAAAAAATCTTAATTGAGTGAGGAAACTCCAATAAAAATAGTAAAATCAAATTCTTTAATAAAACTTAGTCATTAACAAAAATAATAAATACTTTACAAACACATGATAAAAAATTATATTTACAATAATGTATAATTAGTTTTTTGATTTATAAGAATTTATAATTAAATGAATATATAAATATATTTAAATTTTCAATTACCATGTACTATTAATATAAAAATTTATATGATAAAAAATAAATATAAAAATTTATATTACCTATCAATAATTTTTTTTTTAAATGATCTCCAAGATAATTAATTTTAAGTTTATATATATTTTTAGTATATATGAAATGTGATATCTTCTATCCCAACTCATAAAAAAATGAAACAAATTAAAATAAAAAAAAATTCTAAATTAGAAATTCTAATATCAGATCCTATTAAAGTTTTACCCACAAGGATATATCACAAGGCTCAAGCCTCATCATCATAATGATTCTTATGTGCAAAGGTACACATAAAATAGTCAAAAAAAAAAGAAAAAAAAAATGTGATACATCTTACTTTAATTATCAATGTGAAGTAAGGTTGAATAACCACACACAAAATGATAAAAATAGCTTATAATTTTGTAATAAATACATCATAAGAAAGTGCATCAATAGTTATAATTAGTCATAATATTCATATTTCATACAGAAGCAACATACATGAATATATGTTTGTGGTGTAACATTATAAATTTTGTTAATAATTATTAATTTTATTAAATTAATTATTATTATGATCAGTTATTTAATTATTTAAAAATAATTACATAAAAAATAAATATTAAAAACAATAATTTTAATATTAGAGAGATATGTTTTTTTTACAAAATATCAAGAACAAAAATCAAAATGTATTTAATTTTGTAAAGAACATAATATATCTAAACCTTAAATTTTGATGTGATCAAACTTATACGTATATAGTTGATTATATATTATCAATATGTAATATGTTGTAATTAAATTGATATAATTAAAGCATGCACGTATGTCGTTTATGCAAAACAAAAAGAAAATTTCCTTTTCCTTATGTTATGAATATGTTCTTTTTGATCCGTATTTCCTTTATCTTATGTGGTCCTACAGGCTACACCTCAGGTTCTTTAACCACGTGTCAGCGTCAAAATATGCCACGTTTCATTTTTGGAACACTTGTTTTGCGGAAAAAAATTGCAGTGTTTGGTCGAAGCGACAACCCAGTCCCAGACTCGTCGTGGTCGTTTCGTTGGAACCAAAGTCTGGCGAGTCAGGGGCGTTTCTGTCCAAACCAAAACCATGTGAAATTCCCAAATTACCCCTCGCGATGGGACTGTTTCTTTCCCATGTCCCCGTCTTGTCTCTCTACATACAAATTTCGTAACTCATTTATTTAGAGATAAAAATTTAATTTTTATTATGCCATTTATTTGGTCTTACGTTTTGGTTCGTGTGTGAGAGAAAGAGAGAAAGGGTATATTCTGGGTTTCGATACCCTTTGGTAACAAAAATCATCACCATTTATAACTCTTCTCAGCTTAACTATTCAGACGTACTTCTCATATTCTTTGCTGAGTTTTGGGTTTGTTTCTCACCACGTCAGCAGGTAAGGTAATTAATCCTTGCATTTTTTCCCATTTTATTTTCACTTCTGATTGTGTTCTTCACTTAACTCGATTTTTGGCCATCTGGGTATCTTCAGTTTTTTATTTTTTTTTTATTTTTATTTTTTTGTGGAAAATGGTTATCTGGGTATGGTGGGGGTGATCCAGCGAAATGTTTTATGTGGGTTGGTGTTGCATTGCTGTTGTTCTGGTTTTGAGCCCTGTGATTTTCGTTGAAAGGTTGTGTTTTTGCACACTGGGGTTAGCTGTGTTGATCTTGGTATGATTTTCGAGATGCACAGCTTGATGGTGTTTCTTTTGGGGTTGTTGTCGTTTCCTGATTCAAATTTTTGGACTAATTGTTGAGTTTGGAAATGGTGTTTGGGTGGAAGAGTGATGAATTAGGTTTAAAGTGAATAGATCAATTATGTAACTTATACTAAATGAAGATTTATGGCATTTGGTTTTTCATTCCTCTTTATTTTCCTTTCAAAATTTGAATCTTTTTCCTCGCTAGGGGGTTGCATCAATGTCAGTTATCTTCTTCTTTTTTTCTTTCCCAATTCTAATAATCTGGATGATGGTTTCTAGTTTTGTGAACTGCTGAAACAATGGATCTTCTATTTCCAGCAATCTCACTGGTTTCAATTTACAATTGGTTACATTTTGTTCTGATGATGTGATCTTGTTGTGAAGTTATATTTATAGTACATTTTTGCTATATACCTTTTTTTTACCTATTCACAGGGTCATTTTAGTGACTTCTATTTAATACTTGTTTGATTTGTGTTTTATTGGTTGTTATGATCTTGTATGCTATGAGAGACTGAGACTGTGTACCGAGGGACTTTAGTTATCTTTGCTTGTTTGCATGTATTTCTTCCCCAAAAATTATTATTTTCTGTCTTGCCAATATATGAAATGATGAATTGAATTATCAATGGTTCTGTTTATTACAGATTTCTCTGTAACCTCTGAACCATACGGGGAATTATCAATTGTTGCTGCTACTTATTTGTGTAGTTGACAATATGGTAAAGATGGTGGCTGCGATGATGTTGATGTTGGTGGTAGATTAGCAAAGGGCCAATTCCTCTTATAAGTGGATATCTGTATTTGATGTTTTGAATAGTGTTGTACATTACGATGGATTAGTGAGAACTGATGGACTCAAGGTTCAGGGCTATGACATTATCAGGTGGTGGATTAATGGAATATAACTGCTGAGCCATTGGAGTCATCTTTCAGATCTAAAGAATAATATTGTTCAATATAACTAACATACTTGAAGTTCACATTTTGTAATAATGGATGTAGTGCTTTCCCCCCAAATACAGAAAGGTCGCAAAACTTTATGTGCTGGGTCACAGAAGGATCTATGGCTTGTTGTGCGAGAAGGATCTCTAAATGATGTAGAGGTGACCTTGACATCATTGAAGAAGAGTGGGGGCAATATCAATTTGAGGAACACCTTTGGGCTGACTCCTCTTCATATTGCAACTTGGAGAAACCACATTCCCATTGTAAGGAGGCTTCTTGCTGCTGGTGCCGACCCTGATGCCCGAGTACGACAATTTCTCTTTTCTGCATTTTCTAGTTTTGCATTTATATGCTTTCCCTTTTCTATAATGAGAGGCATTAGTTCTGCTACTTTCTTCCTATTTAGTTCTCAAGATTCAACACTGTAAGGGATGACTGTTTATTTGTTATATTTTGTTATGATCATAAGGTGAATGGTTGTTAGATGATTGTTAAACTACTTTGCCAAGACCTGTCCTTATCAGAATTCAGAAAATGGTTGAAATATCTTTACATAAATTAAGATAAATTTTAAGGCTCCTTAGGCAGACAGTTCATGGTTAATATTTATAGTTTTCTAATGTTTAACTTGTATTCCATTGATGGATATCTCATTAAATTTTGTAGCTGCAAAACTTGGTGACAAAAAGAACCTTCTTGTTATAAAGCCGCCAAGGCATCAACCCTAACACGTGAGAGGAAATGAAATTCCTTATAAGATTTCTTGTTACTTAGGTTATTTATTATTTTATGGTGAATTAGTGATATCAATGATATAAGATGCTAATTAGTAATATTCACCACATTTTTTAACCTAAATTTGTGAGACATCCTAATGTTGCCACTTGGATTCAAAACCTTGGTGTGGTGAAGAAATAATTAAACTATCTCTAGACCAGTGTTGTCAAATGGTGGCTATGGTGCCGCTATGGTGGAATAGCAGGATGGTGTTCATGCCCTCTGCCACTTGACATGTGTTTTGTGGAAATTTATGGCCCTGTCAGTCATTTTCTGTTTTGCAGCTAGTGGCTACCATTATGATGCCATGGGGATGTGGGTGGGTCTCTCTTTAATATTCATTTTTATAAATCCTAACTTGGGCTTTTAAAATCCTTTTTTCACCCACTGTGCCATCATTATGTTGTATTATAAGGAAAACCATCTCAGTTGAATCTCCCTTTTCTTTGTCCCTATAAGAGTGGGAGTGGCTGCTTAGGATTGAAATGAATTGCCAGTGTTTCTTCACTAATTAGGGATTTACCTCTTTGAATACATTAATTCTGAAACTTGTGTTGTTTTTAGGATGGAGAATCAGGATGGAGTAGCCTTCACAGGGCTCTGCATTTTGGTCATCTTGCTGCGGCAAGCATCCTTCTTCAGCATGGTGCCTCTATTACATTGGAGGACTCCAAATCTCGAATACCTGTAGATCTATTCTCTGGCTCTGTATTTCAGGTTCTTGGAAATGAACACAGTTCAGGTATAAATTGCTGTACTTTGACTCCTTTGGATTGTTGTTGCCAGTACAAAGTGATCATATAGGATGACAATCTGACACTGGGTGCATCTTTATTCTTTAGTGGCTACTGAGGTCTTTAGTTGGGGCAGTGGTGCAAATTATCAGCTTGGAACTGGAAATGCGCACATTCAGAAGTTACCATGCAAAGTTGATTCACTTGGTGGTTCATTCATAAAGCTAATTTCTGCAGGGAAATTCCATAGTGTTGCACTTACTGCTCGTGGAGAAGTGTATACTTGGGGATTTGGAAGGGGTGGCCGTCTAGGGCATCCTGATTTTGATATACACAGGTATGTGGTCTGTTTTTGTGTGAAGCCAGATGAACATGCTTTTTGTTTGTATTGACATTACCATTACCACTTAATGATTATGAAGATTGAATGTAAACAATTTGGTTGAGTAAGTTCTTTAATAATGTTGAGTTCCTTGGGGCTTGTTTGATTTGGAAAAAACATGTTCTGTTTTCACTTTTTATTTTCTCCTCGTTTTTATGGATAATTTAAAAAATGCTACTTTGTTTTTGTTTTGCTTCCTTTCTTTAAATATTTGTGCAGGAATTGGTGAAAAGAACTTTTTCGCCTTTTCACCCCATATACAATTTTTGAAAATAGGAAATAGTGAAAACAAGGTGACATTTTTGTAATTACTTTTGCAAATAGGAAATGAAAACAGATAACGTTTTCTCAAACCAAATAGGCCCCTCGATTTCTTTGCTTTCCATTTTTTGAATACCTTGGATGAGAATCCAATTGTATGTTTTACCAAATGCTCATTTGAAATGAAAAACAAACTTGATGAAGCTCATATATGTATTGATAGATTCTAATGTGGGACATTTTTGTGCATACATTAAGGCACTTAGTCTCAAACTTTTTGTTCATGGTGTTTCAAGCAAAAGCAAATGGGAACCTTTTCGGTTGAGCTGCTTCCTAGTGTTTTAGCAATAGTTACATTTGTACAATTGCTTTTCTGAGCTTTTTTGGGATGAGTAATAAAGGGGGGTTTATCATGTCATCTGTTCATGCTTTTGGACAATTGTCAATCAGAGTTTATATTGTTATACTCATTGCAGTGGTCAAGCTGCTGTCATCACTCCCCGCCAGGTAACTTCTGGTTTGGGTTCCCGCAGAGTGATGGCAATTGCTGCAGCTAAGCATCATACGGTTATTGCTACTCAGGGTGGGGAAGTGTTCACTTGGGGATCCAATAGAGGTAAACTTGACGATATTCATGTTTATATAAGTTGTGAGTGTTGTGAGTTGTTTCTGTAAATTACTTCACTGGATGCAACCAAATAACCTTTTCCCCTGCATCCTTGCCCTGCCTTTTATTTTATCAAGTATACTTATGATTTTCTACCTATCATCATTGATTAGTTGAGAAAGAATTAGTCTTTCTTTATGCTTTGTTTTGCAGTGTGAAATATGAAAATGACACATGATTGGCTATTTGGTATCCTTATTTTCTTGTTTCATTGTTATATAGAGGGACAGCTTGGGTACCCTTCTGTTGATACACAACCCACACCTCGTAGAGTATCTTCTTTGAGGTCAAAAATTGTCGCTGTTGCTGCCGCAAACAAACACACAGCTGTAGTTTCTGATTTAGGTGAAGTCTTTACTTGGGGTTGCAATAGGGAGGGTCAGCTTGGTTATGGCACCTCAAACTCAGCATCTAATTACACCCCACATGTGGTTGAATCCTTGAAGGGAAAGACTTTGACCAGGGTCTCTGCTGCAAAATATCATACAATTGTATTAGGATCTGATGGAGAGGTAACTAATTGCAGATTATTGTCATTTTGTTAAAAATTCAAGTTCTTTTAATTGTAAGAAACTCTGGTTACCATTTTCATATTTTAGGCCTCAGTTAAAGGCTAACCAAAGGCCATTAGGATTTCTTGGGCCTTGCAAATAAGACACTTAAACACTTTACGTAAATCTGGCCTAAAATACTACCTGTAAGGGCAAAAAACAGAAGAAGCCAGAAAAATTAATTAAAATATGTTGAAATTATAATGGTAACTACAATTTTAATTATTTTCTTTCCTACTGCTCTTGCATCACATATTTTTGGAATATATACAGAGAGGGATAAAACCTAAGTTTTTTTCTATTGTTCTTTCCCAAAACTGTATTCAAGTTCAACTAATTTTTTTTATGGTACATGGATATGAAACAAAGAGCATAGTTATATATAGTTGCTGTCAGTTGCTTCTTCTTTTTATTTTTTGCGAAATAATAGTACTTTCTAGTTTTCATCTTTTAGTTCTAATTTCCCATATTTTGCAGGTATTTACCTGGGGTCATCGACTTGTTACTCCAAAACGTGTAGTTGTTAGTAGGAACTTAAAGAAAAGTGGGACTACTCCTTTAAAATTTCACCGCAAGCAACGGCTTAATGTGGTTTCTATAACTGCTGGAATGGTACACAGCATGGCTCTTACAGATGATGGTGCATTATTTTATTGGGTTTCCTCAGATCCTGATCTTAGATGCCAACAGGTTCTTATTCTCTGAATATTTCTCTTCACTTGTGTTCCAATTTTCCTGAGATAAAAATGTTGATTAGAAACACTTTCCCACTTTTTGTTTAAACATTTCTTTGAACAGTTATATTCTATGTGTGGAAGAAATATGGTGAGCATATCAGCCGGAAAGTACTGGACTGCAGCAGTTACAGCTACAGGTGATGTTTATATGTGGGATGGGAAGAAAGGTAAGGATAAGCCCCTTGTAGCAACTCGGTTGCATGGTGTAAAGAAGGCTACATCAGTTTCAGTTGGTGAAACACATGTACTAATTGTGGCTTCACTCTATCATCCTGTCTACCCTCCCAACATGATCAAGAATTCTCAGGAACTCAAGTTGAATAACAAGGATGATATGGAGGAGTTAAATGAAGACATTTTATTTGAAGATATGGATTCCAGTAACATGATATCTAGTGTACAAAATGATACTTTCAGGCAGAGATCTATACCCAGCTTAAAAAGCCTTTGTGAAAAAGTAGCAGCAGAGTGTCTAGTTGAGCCACGGAATGCCTTGCAACTTCTTGAGATTGCTGATTCTCTTGGAGCAGATGATTTGAAGAAATATTGTGAGGTACTGGTTTTGACTACTGCACAATAAAATGTAAAAACTAGGACCTGTGTTCTTTTTTCTTGTTCAGATTCATTATATAAAAATATGTTGCTGCTTAATTTTTCAATTATATGCCATCCAACATGTGTACACACTTGAAAGTTAAGACCATGAAAGTAATGCTGACATTTGTCATCTTAAAGATCTGAATTTGACAAGCTTGCATTTAAAGCAAGTAGTATGAACTAAAATTTATTAGTTGATATTTGATAACAATAAAGAATTCATCTCATTATTGGCAATAAATTCATGACTTCAAAAGTCACTGCCATAAATTTATCAGACATTTCTACAAAACTGCTGCAATAAATATTGTAAAAATGATATCTTATAAAATGTAGATTTCTTTCTATCCATATTGTATTTTTGGTATATCAATTTATTTTTAAGTCAAACTTTTGTAAATTATTATAGACATTTTGGTATGAAATATTTCTTATTGAGCTATAATTTCTTTAATTTTGGAAAAGTGGGTAGGTAGAACCTAACATTGTTTTGAGTCATTGATTCTAGAGTCATATTTATGTACAACCTTTGTTGGTTAATAATATTTCTCTTTTCTATATCACAATAACACTTGACATGATCAATTTATTTTCAATGAATAGTAAATCGAAATGCAAATGTATTTTGAAAGTTGTGTAGGAATGAATATGTCTAAAGTGGCATGAGCCCAAATTATTAATCTGGCCAAAAAATTTTGTGAATAAGAAAAATATCAAAAGTTACATCCCCAAAAAACCATAAATGTTTTGTAAGATGGTTTGAAAATACTCCTAAATACATGAAAAATATGGCCACTATCCTTCTTTTTCAGAGATGCATCATCCATGTTAGGGTAGTATTTGGTTAGTGTATGTTCATCCATTGAAATTAAATATTGTTTTTCACAAAGTAATCATTAATCATTTCTAATATTATTTTTTGAATTAAACAAAAATAACTGAAAGGTACTGTCACTTTATTTGTGTAGGAGTCATTAAAACATAGAAAAAGATAAAAAAAAAAAGAGTTTAGCAGTTTATTTTGAATATAAAAGGACAACCTACACTGCATATTTTGTTGATGAAAATATAATAAATAAATGACAAATTATGTATTACTTTACTTGATTTGGACCTCCTTTGTCATATGATAATTCTTTTCATTTTCTTGCCTCTTATGCTGTGTAATTTAATAAGAAAGTATTTTTTATTTACAAATTTGTGAGGTAATATTTGATATATATATATATATATATTATTTTTATTCCATTCTATGCATGGGTGTTTTAGTACTAGTTTTCTGCACGAGAGATATTTAACCTTGAATTTAAGTAATATCTTCTAGCATTACACATTATATAATTCTACCATCATGAAATTTTCCATGTAATTTAATTGCCCTTTGCTTATATATTTAGTATGATATATATCTCTTACATGGTAAAGTGTTTTATTATATACTAAAGCTGTTATTATTGACTGGTTACAGGAGATTGTCATGCGCAACCTTGATTATATATTTACAGTTTCGTCACATACTGTAGCAAGTGCCTCACCAGATATTCTGGCTAACCTTGAGAGATTGTTAGACCAGAGATCATCTGAGCCATGGAGCCACCGTCGGCTCCCTACTCCAACTGCTACTTTCCCTGCCATCATTAACAGTGAAGAGGATGATAGTGAGGTAGAGTTTCAAAGGATTCGTGACAAACCTTTGTCTGCCATGAAATTGGAGAAAGTCCAAGGACTAGATTCCTTTCTGCAGCCCAAGGATGATCCTAATAAAGAAATCTCCAAGGTAATCCGAGCTATAAGGAAGAAGTTGCAGCAGATTGAGATGCTTGAAGCTAAGCAGTCTAATGGACATCTTCTCGATGACCAGCAGATTGCAAAGCTTCAATCGAAGTCAGCACTTGAGAGCTCACTTGCTGAGCTTGGTGTTCCTGTTGAGACATCAGATTTACCAGAAGGGAAAGGTAATAAGAAGGGTAAATTATTGAAAAAACAAAGGAGAAAGAGTGGCAAATCAAGTGTAGAGCAGGCAGAATTAGAATCTGTTTACTCTAAAAGTGAAGCCATTCCCAAATCGGAGGACCTGTTGGACATTGACATCATGAGGGTTCCTGATACGAAGGTTGGTTTCCGATGTCCTAAGCATGCTATTTGAAAATATTAGTTGAAACCATATTTTCGTTTAATTTCTTTTCTTGCTTATATTTTATTTGTTAAAGGTTTCTAGCACGGAGAAATAATTGTATACTAGATTAAGTAAGTTATAGACTTACAATTATAGTCTTAGATTGGACTCTTGTCTGAGGGTATTTGCCATTGATGGACGTCTCAGGGTTACATATGCAGCCTGAAACTTTGTTAATTCACAGATTGCTCCATAGTCTTTGTGGGTAGCTTATAAAGTTCCTGGCTTAGAATTGGTTCATTTAGTAAAACATTCAATCTGGTTTGAGCGTATTTCGTGGCTTGTAGAGCTTTCATTTTAGAAGAGTATATATTGAATTTCATATTGTGTTTATAAGACATGTTTATATAGAAGTCATTGTCTTTTGGGTTAACCAAGATGATTTAGCTAGTTATACATGCCAAGGAAATCCCACTCGAAGAGATTGTGAATTGGAGGAACACCTTCAACATGTTAACATTAATATTTTGAAGAACAGGTCTTCCAAGAAGTTCTTGTCGTTTTCCTTTTTGTTATGAACAAGAATTATTTGCATAGTTCATTGCATTGCTTAAAATTCTAAATTTTATATGTTAGGTGGTGGAAGAAGAGGATACTATCTGTGAACAGATCACAGCAGACCAGGGTGCAAAAGATTTAGCTTTTGTTGTGCAGAAGAAAGATGGTTTAGAGTTGCTGAAAGCCAAGGGTCAGTCTCCAAGGGCTTCAAAGAAGAAGAGCAAGAAGGGTGGGCTTTCTATGTTTCTGAGTGGCGCACTTGATGAAGCCCCGAAAGAGGTGGCTCCCCCTCCTCCACCAACACCAAGAAATGATGGTCCTGCATGGGGTGGGGCCAAGTTCACCAAGGGTTCTGCTTCTCTTCGCGAAATCCAGGATGAACAAAGCAAAATAAAAGTAAACAAGCTGCCCGGGACCAAAGATAAGGTGGAAGATCTTTCTGATCTTGGCAGTGGGGTGAAGATAAAGTTGAGTTCATTGCTTCCTTCCAGCCCAATACCTGTTACCTCAACTCGTAGTTCCCAGGCATCTGAGGGAGAAATAAGTACCCCTCCTTGGGCTGCTTCAGGAACTCCTCCCCATCCTACTAGGCCATCGTTGAGGGACATCCAAATGCAACAGGTTTGTGATTTTAGGCTTCCTTTCATGTACCTGTTGTTTAAAATGTTTGATTTTAATCAAGGGGTGGTGATAACTGATAACTCGGTATGCATTTTGGCCTATTCATATATTTTAATTACCCTTTGGCATGGGAAATGATACTAGTACAACAAATTTGTACGACATTGTTTTTGACATCTCTCCATCATTAGTAAATGTAATAGATGATGCGAATGATAGACACACAAAAAAATGTTGTATAAATTGTTATACATGTAATCGTGTATCATACTCTTTTGATATTATGTTGCTTCTCCTAGTGTCTACCGTTGTTCATTTGAGGATGTTGTTTTAAATACAGGGAAAGAAACAACAATGCCTTTCACACAGTCCAAAGACCAGAACAGCCGGATTTTCCATCCCTACCAGCCAAGGTTCACCGTCCGAAACCACCACCGGTGTGAGCCGCTGGTTCAAGCCTGAAGTGGAAACTCCATCCTCGATTCGATCTATCCAAATCGAGGAAAAGGCAATGAAAGATCTCAAGCGCTTCTACAGCAGTGTCAAGATTGTCAGAAAGCAGCAAGCTTGAGGCCATCTATCTAATAACGCATCTAATAAAGTAGCAAGAGAGGCTATTTCCTGTTCTCCTCTACCTTGAGCCTTACCATTTTTTCCTTATCCTTTTTCACTTTCCTTGTTATACAATAACTGTGAATTAAAATATGTACAGATAGTTGCAGTGTACATCCTTGTTCCTTTTAAATCAAAAGTGTAGTTTTAGCTTCTTAGCATCATTTCATGTTTCCCAATTAGCGCTGTATATGACCAATATTTTTTTATGTACTCATTTTTAGCTATTTCAAGTTAAGAGACTGGTCAATAATGATCCTGAACCTGATATCAAGGGCAGACATAGTTACAGATTTCCCTGACTCAAGTTGCTTCAAGGATCAAGAATCTCAGAATAAGAGGGCACTTCTTTCCAAATAAGGGCTTTGTATGGTCCCATACTTAGGGAAATATTATATATATCCACCTAGAGTTGTTACATTTAGTTGAGGAATAGTTGGACTTTGGAGTGATAATAATTGTTCAGCTTGCTTTTTATAAGCTTTCTATATGCTAGCATCTTAAGAGACTCTATCAACCTTTTAACTTTGCAAATCAAGTTCATTTATATATTTTAAGTAAAGCTTTATGTTCTTTATTTGCCTGGGTTTGGTTAAGTAGCATTGACTTTAGGCAGCAGGAAGAGATAGTGGGAGGGAGGGTGGTTGAAAAGGAAAAGATGTACCATATTTTTCATGGCATATTATATCTCTTCTAATTAAAAGTGTTCAAACTATAAAAAGATCCTAGTTATGGTATGTGAGAAGTAAATTAAGGAATTCGATTTCTAGAAAAAAAAAAGTATTCAAATTATTCTGTAAAGGCAACAATTAATTACTTTTACATCATTTTGGCGTGATTCTTATTTAAATATACAAATTCAAAGATAAGATTGTTGTCTTTAATGAAAATCTTGGTGATGACCAGTACTGTTTAATTTTCATCATCTCTGCCGGCAGAAAAGAGAATTCTTCAACTTTCTAATCAGGTACTACTTATACGGTGAATGTTTTCACCTTTTATACGAATGTTTATATGCTAAAAATTTTAGTAAAAGTGACAAGCATTTTGAATTGCTTATGCCAAGACAAAAATAGTTTCAGCAGGCTAGATTCTTATATGACACGTATTTTATGTATTAATTTCTCACCAACACTTGCAAGATTCATACAAAAGGAAAGATTCTTGTTAACTGTTACTCCTTCGATTTATATAGGAAAAAAATGCTTAAAATTCTCACACTTAAATATAAATTTTAATTAAGTTAATTTTATTTGATGATTTTAATTCAAAAGTATTCATAAGAGAATAAGCGAGAATGCTATTTATAATAACTGTGATTAACGATATTTTAATAAATATAATATATATTTTATATAAAATCATGAGAATTAAATATATTTAACTACTTTTCTTAATTTGTGTGATTTTTTTATATGTAAGTTTAGAAGGAGTATAAGGAATTTATGGCTAAATATGCGTGACAATGGCATAAAATTTCTAAACTGTTTTTTTACTACATTGTCAAGTAGTTGGTTGATTGCATGGTTTTAATTTACAATTGCATCCATGGTATTTTTTACCATGTGAAGGATTACACTATAATTGAATTTAGAATATGGATCTAAAATATCGAAATAAATAGATTAATGTGATAGTCAACTAAATATCTTAGCTAATGAAATGTTTCTTTGTGTGACATGTTTACGTTTACAAACTATCATAGGTTTGAGAGTTTATAGCCAAACAAGAGGGGAGACATGAACAAATACCCTGTGCAATGAAATTGCTTGCCCCTTTGCTCCATTTTCCTTTTGCATAGAAAGCATAGATTTTGTCAGAGGGAAATGAGAAAAGAGGGGCTTGAGGAGAAAAAGAAAGTAAATGAAAAGAAAAAGTATGATTGGAAATGTAGTGGGGCATGTGGCAACTTGAGGAAGAAGGTCTTGAGAGAAAGCAAAAGGGGAAAAATCCACTAAAAATTATGATGTGATAAGCCCATGAACAATGTGAAAATTTTAGTGTATGTCTGGAAACAGATACCAATTATTTCAAGTTTAAGATGTGACGTTTCCCGACGCGGCATGAAAGTGTTTTAAAAGAAACTACCAAGATGAGAAAGGACAAGAAGATTGTTTTATGACATTGGAATCATGGGAGCAAACCCACTTCTTCACTCTTCTTGTTCTTGTCCTTCCTATTTGCAATTATATCCAACCACTTCACCTAGACCCACAAATAATACTAATGTTTGGGTAAAATCTTAAATAAAGTAATTTCTGTTTGAGCTTTAAGATTTTCAAATAACACTCAAGAGATCAATTAATATACCTTATTTTATAAATATTTTTATGTAACTCCTTAATATATTCTTAAACTTTTTGGATTTTCATTAATGAAATTAGTACTAAAAAAATTAATGAAAGAATGTATTAATAATGGTCAATGGTATAGTATTTAATGTTACTTAAGTATGCAATGCGAACTACAAAGGGTGGAGTGGTTAAACAGTCACACTAGAAGCAAAGCAATCATGCACATTTGTTGATCATCTCACTTCTAAATTACTAGTGCGCAAATGATGATGTCTAGTGACATGTTTTGAATTGTTGAAGATAAAGGTTTTACACTTCAATAATAGTATAATAATGGAACCTCCACGAGTCGAATATTTGGTACGAGTCTTGTTGAGATTAATCATTAACTAGGATTTCGTGGGAGGTTTCAATATGGTGTCATGTTTAGGTTATAACATTTTGGTTTATTTTAGTTAGCTTTCACACCATACCTGGATATTAGTCAAGGGAAGATGATTCAGTAGTTGATTTTTTTTATTATAATCTACGTGACTTTAGATCGGATACAAGATCTCAATAATAAGTAGTTAGCAATCTTTTTCATATTGATTTTAAGACTAAGGGAGCACCTTGTCACCTTAAACTTTAACTACCAAAAGTAGAAGAGACATATTGAGTGAACAGTTTTTTACACCTAATGTAAATTAAATAAGCACTGAAATCAGTAGAATCAACTTGATTTTGACCAGTTTTGACTATTGCAAAGTAGTGGGTGGGGATAGGATGGGGGAGTGGACGAGTTTCAATATTTTCGTTTTTTTTTAATAATTTTTTTATATTTATTTCTATTCTTATACTTAATGAGTATAAAATTTATATTTATCTTTGTTTTCATTGAATATTGGATATATTTATACTCATCTAAAAAAGTAATTAATTTTTTTTAAGAAAATATATAAAAGTAAAATTTTCAACATAAAATTATAATTACAAATACATTAATTAAGTTTTATTTAAAATAAATTTAAAAGAAAGTAAGAGTTACATAAATGTCAAATAATTTTTTTAAAAAAATAAATTAAGTTTTTAAAAATTTAAAATAAGTATGAGTATGAGGTGAGTATGTATATACCCATATTTATCGCCATAGCTAATTCAATAAATCGAATATTATATGAATTTGTACCTGATTTAATCAGCTATTTTTTTTATATCAAAGTTGAGACAAATTTAAATATTATACATGAATATTAACTTGTCACCTCAAGTAATGTGACTAAATTCAATTTTTAAACCATAACCAAAGTTTTGGGAGAAATCAAATTCATCAAATCTTTTGTGGTAATAATTTAATGATTTAGTAGTAGAATTGGATGTTCATTTGCTTGTTCATATGATTAATCTTGTCTATATTAAAATATTAAAAATAATATAATTAATATAATTTAAGATAATTTTTTATATTAAAAAAAATTATTGTCATACTAAATAAAAAATGTCACATATCTAAATTTTAAATTTTAAATCACAAGCTTATAATAACACAATCATACTTTAAATTTTAAAAATATTCTTATAGTAAAATACTCAATATCTAAAATAACAATTAATTAAAATTCATAAATATCAAGTTGATAATAATAAAGTTCACAAATTACATTCAAGTGAATGACACAATTTTATAAGTAAATTCAAAAATCAAAACATAAATTAAATCAATATTTAAAATTCATGTACAAATTATTGACCCTTCAAAACCCAATGTTTACAAAATTCAAATAACATTGTTTTTAATTTGTTTTGAAATTTTTGAATCTTTTTTTGAAAAAAAAAAATTACAACTTGGTCTGGTTCACCATTTTATTTTATTTTTTGAAAACATCAGCTGATTTGATCTGTTCAACTATTTACCCAATTTGATGAGCAAATGGTTTTAGCGCTCGAACCGATCAGTCTGTTCCCATTTTCACAACACTGAACGAACCTACATTCATGTCGAGGTAGACAAATACATTCTATTATTTTGATGAAAGCACCAACATATATTTTTAATTTTTATATTTTTCCCCCTATCTATATATAATTTGAACTTGTCTAAACTTTCTTAGACTTGATGGATATATAATTTTATTATTTTAACATTTATATCTTTACTAATATTTTAACATGTATATTTTATAGGTTAAATGTTTATTATATTATTAAATTTTACAATAAATTATATAAAAATAAATATTATAATTAAATATATAAATTATATTTAAAATTTGTATATATGTAAATATCTTAAATATATAAATTGTTTTAAATTTATGATAAATAATTTATATTATACTATAACATTATTTTTATTTATTGATAATTTTTTTTAATTTTAATATTTAATTTATAAATAATTATCATAAATAAAAATTAAATTAGATAAAAAAAATCTCTGTAAACTTTAGAGTAAAAAAAATCCTAAAAAAAATATTTTTATGTAAGATAACGGTTAGAAGAAATTAATTAGAGTGGTTAATTCGAATATAAGTCATGAACAATGAACACCAAAGAAATCATACGAATTAGAGAATCAGAAACCGTAATATAAACACACTTGATCATTTTCCTAAATCCCGTTATTACTTTTTTAACAGTTTTTTTGTTTAATTTTAATCCGATAAAATACAAACACAATTCCGGACTTGGATCTAATTAATAGTTCTCTTTGTGAAATGTATTACTAATCGATCTTCATCAACCGTTTTTTCAAAAGCAATCCACCTTTTAATGTTCAAATCCCAAATAATAAAAGTTAGGATTATCATTAATTAAGTAAAGCATGATTTGAAGCATTTCCCTTTCACAAATTAATGAACATAAAGAAAAGAATAATTGATTGTTAGATATAAAAGAGAAAAAAATAAAACAAAAATTGTGGGTAGCAGTCCGAGTGGTGCACTTTATCTGAACTGAATACTTCAAATCAAATAGTGATCATAGTGGAAACACAAGCATATAAATATATAAAATCGTGGCTAATTTAATTTGTTCTACATTTTAACATCTAATCACCTGCCATAGCAATCCACATGACCGACCTCCACTAATTATATATTCTGCTTATCATTTTTTTAATTTTAGCAACTACTCCTATTCATATTAAATTGTGTAATATATATATAGAAATATATCAATTTACTTTGACACCAAGGTCATTTTGTTAATGTATGTTAAAGTTTTTAATTACTTTATAAAAATTAATAGTAAACAGTTTATTTTTGTTGATAGGACTAAAACTTCAATTTCAGTAGTCTT